GGGACACAGGAGCTTGATGTATGTCACGCACCCGTTCACGTAGGAACTTTTATTAGAGAGCATGGAAGGTAGGCTTCGAGATGAGTGAGGTCAGATAACTCATGCCTCTGGGATTTCTGAGGACCTGGCTGGTGAAGCCACCTTCTTCTCTATTAAAATGCCTCCTCAATCGCTGCCCAAGAATGGGGGTTCTCCAAAGAGTGTGAGGCCCAACCACACCCACCAGGTTCTGTAAGAACAAGGCCACCACTCCCACCCATGCACAGGTGCTGCGGGAGGCATTTTTCACACAAAAATGTGAATGGCCCCTATTGATCTGTGCAGCGCCCAATCTACACAGCAGTACACCACCACCCTGTAATGAGTGACAGTACACCACCACCCTGTAATGAGTGACAATCCTTATCCAGAGCTTAGCCAACAGTGTTGAACCTAGGAACCCCATAGTTCCTTTACTACCCCAAAAACAGAGCCTCAGTACTACTCCAGATTCAATCTATTCACTGGTTCAGGCACTTCACTACTCCAGGGTACCAGCCAGTGAGGCATCTGCTCCCATGACTTAGAAGCACAGAGGTAACAGGTCAGGATTCAACCGACCCCACTCCGCACCTGATCACCTGCAGTTACGAGTATATGAAACCCATGAGAAAGATCAAAAAAGGAACCAGGGATTTTACATTCTGTGGTGCCATGAGTGGTTATACATATACCCCCCAAATGGCTAGGGGTCATAATTTTATTAGACTTACATCACAGTTACTTCACAGCTGCATTTTATATGTTAAACCATTACTATCAAAGAGATCAGTCAAACCTAAGGGCAACCGACTCATCCAGATTTGCCCACGACTTCCCCGGTTTTAGCACTAAATCCTGTGTCCCCAGGCCTGTGTCCTCAGTCCTGGGCAAGCTGGTGCAGACTGGTCACCTGGTCCTACAAAGCCAGCTTAGAGGGAAAGGAACAACAATCCCAGTACAGGGACAGGTGGGAAATGTTGATCCTCCACTTACCTTCCCAGTCTTGACACCTATTTGCTTTGTGTCTCATCGCACACTTTAAGTCAATCACAGATTCTCTAACAAAAAGAGTCAAACAATCAAGTATTGCATTTTAAAAAGGTTTCCTTGACTTCTGAAAGGTAAGGGTCATTGTTAAATACTTTGTTCTGTACACACCTCGTCAAATCCTGTCTCTGAAAATATGCCCAAAGTATTCACCATTCCTGCAAGTAAATAATTCTTAAGAATGACTTTCAATGAGTAAACCTTGCAATTACTTTATCAGTGTTTACATGGCAAAGGGAAGCTGCAGATAAATGAGAGAGGACTTTTGGGGTAGAAAAAAATAAACACTCCCGTCCTGTCACGTCTGTTCAAGGGAAACTCGAGAATGGAACATTTTACAGATTGGGAAACTTGGGAGTAATTGTGAGTTTATTTGGGTCTTTCTAAATTCAGTTTAACGAACTTCTGGGTGCAGTTTTTAGTTTTTGCCATTTCAAAAGCTCGATTTCAGAATGAAAAGACACGTCTAAGAAAGAGTGGAGTGGAGTATTTATATTCAACTGTAAATACCAGAAAAAATAGATCCTGCTATTCATTAGTTTGTATGACTCTACAATGATTTTGGGAGGGTTCCACCAAACCTTAACTTTTTTGTTCTTTTGTGGTTTTTTGATGTGTGCTGTTGTTGATTTAATCCCCCACCCCTTTTCGGTTAAAACTTGAGAAAAATTAAGTCAGTGCCTAGTTAAGCAACTTTTTTAAACAACTAATTGCAATTTTCCAATTTTAAGGCCAGTAGTGCTTACCTTGGAAACTATGTCCAAATCCGTATTTGAGTGTTGCCACAATTTACTATGTCAGTGGCCTCTTATGGAGTCACCTGATCCCCGTGTTAGAGGAATGGAGAAAATCAGACCTCAGAGTGGGAGGGGGTGGTATTTTAAGCTTTGTATTTGGTCAATTGATTGATATATCACTTGCAATGAGTCTCATTTTAATGTCTGTTTCTCAATTAATAACTGTTTATCACATCATAGATCCCCAAAGTTCAGTGTTTTTGAGAATTGTTCTATTTTTGCTTCCACCTGAACAGCCTTCCACAGTTAGAGGGGTCTTGGTTACTGTTGGTTTGGGGGGGAGGGGTTAATTTTGGTTTTTGTTTTGTTTTGTTTCATTTAAGTTTTCTTGTTCAATCTTTGCTCAAACCCAAGAACTTTAGCTGCTAGGTTAGAACTCCTGTCTGCTTTCCTGAGCCTTGTTGCTAGTCTTTATGTTATTCTGGTTTGTTCCTTCTTACCCTGCTAACTTCTAGCTGGACTGAAGGGTAAGTGTTCCCCTATAGCTAGCACAGCTCAGATAATCAGACTAGATTATCTGACACCTGCAATGTGCTTCCTCCCTCTCCCTTATATCTTTCTCCTGTCTAGACTTTGTAGTAAAAGTTTTCATGTTACTTTCCTGACCTCAGGTTTGAAATGTAAGCTTCATACTAAAACTAGGATGCATGTGACGTGTGCATAATTGCCTCCTCTCCTTGGCTTTCATATT